TTAGAAGTAGGAATCAGAAAATAATATGGGCCCATTTTTCTGCATTGTTATTAAAAAGGAAGAAAATCATGATACTTTCGTACTGTTCTTTTATGAGAGATATGTGAAAACACAGATTATGAAGAATATTTATTCAGAAAAATGACCTTCAGAAAATCAGCAAAGGCTGATTCAGGACAAATTTGGACCAATCTGTACTATAAAATGAATGTTCACGATGAAGATCCTGGGGCAGTCTGAGAGGCCAGGTGTATCATTATTAAGACTAGAATTATACTTAATATAGCTTTGGTTTAAAGGATCCTTGTATGCCAGTGAGAATGTTCAGTTAATGAATGACTTTTGCCCCAATTCTACAACTTTGGAGTAGCAAGAGTTGGAAGAAGAGAAGAATAGGGGAGCAATCAGCAATCTTCATGACAATACAAAACTAACGATAACATGAAAGTTAAAATGAAGGAGACGGTAGGTCCACTGGCAGTTAGGTAATGAGTCTAAATGAAACAGAGCATCCTGGTTTTACTTTATCATTTTCTTTTGTTTCTTCATGGGAGTTTATGATCTGTAGGGATGCCCTAAGTGTGTGTTATAGGCAGTTCTGGGAACGGTCTTGTAAGTAAGTGACTCAGGAAACTCTTAAAAAGAGGCTATTAGGAAATGGTGACAACACTGGTGCACAAAAAAATAGGAATTTTGCAATTAAAAGTTTTTATATAGAAATCTCTTATAACATGTTATTTAGTATAAGCAATTATAATTCATGATTTGATGACTTACCTACCTCTGTTATTTCTAAACTGAACCCTCCATTATTTTCTTGAGCCAAAGGCAGGAGGCCTGGCGCACGTACGGGAGGAAGACAGTGGTGCTGAGCCCCAAGTGCCCGACTAGGAGAAACTGACATGCAGACACAGGGATGTGAGATGCCCTGGTGGGTCAGGATCAGAACCAGAAGTCACACAGCCTTGATCCCTATCAGAGCCCCATCAGCTCAGTTCGGGGGCAGGGTAGGTGTATCCTCCTTGGACATTCACTAACTTGGAAGTTAAAAGCAGTCTTCCTGGTTTCCATGCTGGCAGTCTTTATAGGCAACACGTCTTTTCTAGCCTTCCTGGTGTACCCGTCTTTGGAGCTGCCCACCACAGAGTTCTGCAGGAGCAAGGCTCTAAGCTAGTGGCAGGACCAGGAAAGACATGTGGAAGGAACAAGAGAAATACTCAAGCTGACCCCACAGGACTGATCTTTCCTGTTGCATCGTCTTCCACGAGGAGGGACAAGGATAACTTTTGCCCTGAGATTGTGGATACTTCTCTTTTCCCTTGACTTCCACTTCCTACAATAACCCTCCATGCCATTCAGTCCCTCCTCTCACTGAGAACCTCACTAACTACCCTCCATCTGTTTCTCCCTCTGCTAGGAAACTGAGCCCAATTACCAAGTCCTGATGCGCATCCTTATCTCTCGATGTGAGACTGACCTTCTAAGTATCAGAACTGAGTTCAAGAAGAAATTTGGGAAGTCCCTCTACTCTTCTCTCCAGGTGAAACTTGGCTAGTTCTTAGCCTAGAGCCCCGGTGCTGCGCTCCTAACTTCTGCCCACACTCCCTGCAAACAGCTGAGCGTATTCTCCCTGTAGAACTCAAGAGTCTTTGGTTAATTTAGTGCAGGATTCCAAGCACCAGGGAGGATGCTTCCCTCCCAGACCAGCTATGGACCAGCACGAGAGAGGGAACAGAGTGCTTGGGCCATAGTAGTGGTGGGTCTTTCTAACGCCTGACTCCCTTGTCTGCAGGATGCAGTGAAAGGAGACTGCCAGTCAGCCTTACTGGCCCTGTGCAGGGCTGAAGACATTTGAGACTTCCCTGCTCCCACCCCCACAGGACATTAGGATCTGAGAGTCCCGTCTCTGGCTAAGCCTGCAGGAGACCAGCAGAGCCTCCACATAGGATAGCCCCTCACTGAACACCACGTGTTTCAGCTTCTTGTGGAGGCTGGAACTCTGTTTCTTTTAATTCCCTTAATTTCCCTCCTCTCAAAATCATGTCTGTACGTGGGTCCTCCAGCTCTGTCTTTGGGGTGGGATAATGAGATCTCTTTGCTAGTTTCTGCCTCACTCCTTCTTCCTGTACCCTGACCATACCCTGACCAGAACATCTCACTGGTACCTGAATTCTTTTGGCAAACTTCACTGTCGTTTGTGTACCCTGATTGAAGTTTGGGTGGAGCAGGACATGGACCGGGAAGAGGCCTTGGAGTTGGAGGTGCCTTTGATGTGCACTTGGCCATTCAACAAGAATCCTGTTTTTGCCCCGGTGCTGCAGTAATCAATACACCTCCCCCACCCTGGTGTCTCACCTCACCCTCATTCCCCAGGAAATATCAGGCAAAATAATTGAGAAACAGGCGCCAGAACAAGAACAAGATCAGAAACGGTCAGAGGTAGCAAAGCTCAATGACTGGGAAGCAAGCGGAGGGTGAAGCTGCCCTCCCCAGTCTGGGAAGTCTTGGGTTAGAAGGGAGCACAACCCCCAAACTCATCTGGCCAAGCAGAGATTTGGAAACTCACCTCCCATTAGAGCATTATTTCCCATACAAGACCTAGCATAAACACACAAACTGAAACTAAAAAGAAAAGTCAGGCTTTGGCTCCCCCTGCTGGCTCCAGTAGAAATGACCGGCAACCTCCTTGCACCTCTTCCCCCTCCCCCTTTTTGCATTCTTCAACTGGGTCAAATACTTAACCCCACTGCTGCAGGGTAAGGCAAACAACAGATCTCAGGAAAGAAGTTTTATTTCCAAACCTTAGGAAGGCATTACAAATAGTGGAGATAGAAACCCAAATCAAATCCTGAAACAAATGGAGACAGGCCTGCTGGGTAGTCAGGGGCACCCAGTCAGAGATAGGAAGGAGGGGGACGCATTCCAGACAGGGACCTCACCCTGGGGCCTGAGTCTGTATATTCATGTGACTATTCTGAGAAAGGGAATTGGGAACCAGAAATCTTCACCCCACTAATCTCAATGTTGCCCTGGATGAGAAGAAGAAAGGCAGCAGCACGTGAGGGCAAGGACGTTACCGAGTCTGACCTTGGCGTCTACTGCCTGCTCTGATCCCCAGCAGTCCATAAATAAGTCACCCTGCACATCTCAGGGGTTGATGTGGGGGAGCAAGCAAACTAGCCATAGCCTCTGAAAGAAGGGGCCGGTCAGCCTGGCATTGGGGCAGCGCTACAGCAGAACACAGTCTGACTCGTGCTTGGGCCTCAGCCGACGCTCCCCGGCTGGGCGTCCAGATGTGGCTCCTCTCCCCTGTATTGGATTTAACAATTGGTCATCCAACAACCTTGGAAGAGCATGAGACAGAGATTCTAGAAGGGAGAGGAATCACGGATCAGGAGGGGCAGTGGGGAGAGAAAGACAGGAAGGGGCACCTGGGGAGAGGGACAAGCAGGGGAAGGGCCCCAAGAGAAGAAACCCTGAAGAGGTAAGAGCAGGAGTAACACGTGTCTGGACCAGGCAAAGCAAGGGATGGCCCCCCAGGGAGGTGGGACCAGGCCTGAGGCGCTTCGCTGAGGGACGAGCACAGCAGGCTCACCTGTGGTGGTGGGGCCCGTGTCTGCACAGGCTGGACTGCTTGCTGCTGTTCGTACTCCTCCTGCTGAAGCTGCTGGGCCAGTTCCAGGTCGCTAAGACCCAGCGTGCCTTGTGGCTGCTGTTGCTGCTGCAGGGACAAAGCAATCAGGTAGTCCTAGAGAGAACAGAGTTGTGAGGTGGGCTAAGGCCTGGGGGGATGGATATTCAGGCTAGGTTTCCAAATCAGTTTTTCCTCATCCTTCAAATCCTCTAGCGCCTTCTCCCTCCAGAGCAAAACACACAGTCAAATGTATCATCTGTGTGCCAGAGAAGGCATACCAAGCGAGGAGCTGGTCCGGAGGTAACAGAGAGTGAAGGGGCATGGATGTCATGTAACGGTCTCTAAATAATAAAATGCATGCAGTCTCCTATGCCGAAAAGCTCTCTGAGGCAAATGTGCTCTCTGTACCTTTCCCAAAGGCCCCACACACCTGGTCTACCTGCAACTGCTTTTCTGGGGAGCCACTCCCACCTTCTGCTCCAGGACCCTTGCCCAGGGAATGACTTAGGTGAAAATCAGAGTCACAAAAGCAGCTGTCTCCGTCGACATTGTGCAGGCTCTCCCACACTACTTGTTCCTCCTGTAGAAAGCCCTGGTCAGTGACCAGCAGGTACAAGTGACTCTGCAAAGAAAAGAACAGAGCTAATTGGTGGGATAGGTGATATAGAGGCACTTTACTGCCAGAAATCATCTGAGATACACAGTTGGAGACCAGGCGAATCAATTGGTGTGCTGGCTGGAACACGTCAGCGTGAGCATGTGGATTTTTTATAAATATGTGTGGCCTTGGGAAGAGGAAAGGGATATGTGAGTGTATGTCCAGCTGGGTGTGAGTATGGCAGTCGTTTGGTGACGCACAGAGTACTCAGGGCTGGGGTGGCACACAAGATCCTCTACCACCCCCTCTATTTCCCATGGTTCTCTGGGTTTGCCTGATGGTTACAAGGGTAAATCCTTTGAGAACCAAAGACCCCTCCCTCTTCTACTCAATTCCTGGAGAGCTTTGGTAAATTTCTAACTTTGGAAGACTGGCATTTTTCAAAAATTCCCCTGCCCCTTTCCGAGAGAGGATTATACTTTCCTGTCCCACCGAAGGCAGGCTTATGCCTTATTTTTCTCTGGCCAGTGTGATGTGAGCAAAAATGACATGTATCATTTCCAAGCAGAAGCACTAAGTGTGAGTGCATAGTGTCCCTCTCTCCCCTCCCTCTCATATATTCCAGATAAAGGCTCTTTTGTCAGCCTGGGTCCCAGAGTGAAGATGGTGTGGGACAGAACCATAGGCACTCCACACTGGACATCGGCATAAATGAGAAAGAAACCTTTGATGTGGTAAACCCCAGGGATTTTAGGGGTCATTTGCTACCAGGGCTTAGGTTTAATCTTGTTTATCCTGACTGACACATTGACCCAGGAGAAAAAGGCATGAGGAAATGATGGCACTCCAACCCGCCACCCTCAAACCATCACCTTGTGCTTAGTCATAGTGCTAAAGTGGTTGTTTCGGAAAAAGACGCTAAGTTCACCCTCCTTGGCAGCTGCTGTCAGCTCACACAGTCCATGGTAAGTCAGCTGGGCTGCTGTGTTCTCCAGGAACTGTTCTGCAATCAGGCCTGCCAGAGGGCACAAGATGGGGCAACTTGGCTTAAATTCAAAGTCCATGATAGGAATGTTCCTCCAGAGAGGCCCTGTCAAAAGCCCTGGAGGTCAGCTCCACCTTTTGAAATCCCTTCCTTGAAGCCTGCTGTATTCATTCATTCGACAAATACCTATAGAGCAGCTACCCTGTGCCAGGCACTGGGGGATAGAAAGCTCAGTGAACTAAACAAATTCCCCAAACTCCCTCTTGTGGTGCTTATGTTCTAGAGCGATGTGGTGGGAGGCGGCAGACAATAAACAATAACCCTAAGTAGCCACCGTTCCCTCCACGCAATATTCAGGAGAAGGGAGGGAATATCACCTTCTGTCACGAGGTTGGTATCACTGGAGTGTTTGCAGGTGATGATCTTCTCTACCAGCTGGTTGTAACTCAGTTTCCCAACTGCACTCACAGCCTCAGGACTCTACATGGGTAGTAGGGCGGGGTAGTACAAAATGAGTTGCTTTTTATTTTAAGGAAGGAAATGAACCAAGCCCACAAGGACTACAACCCTATGAGGAAAGTTTTCTGAACTTTTGATTTCTAAAGAATTGATCCTATCTGCATGTGATTTCCTTGTATTTGAATGTCAGCCCCCCAAAAAGGTTAAAATTCAAGGAATTCTATACTGAGTCCACTCTCTAAACCCTATTGCTCTCCCAAGCCAATCTAACCCCTACCTCCCAACCTCTACCCTCACATAATTTTGCCTAAGAGTCTCATTGGGGTCCCTCCTAGTCTCACCTGTGGATCAACAAGCCAGCCATGGTACAGAGGTATGCCTAGTAGGTCAAAGACGCTGCACTCAGGTGTATACTCAAAATCAGAGACTCCTGTGAATCGCACATTGACATCTAGACCTGTGGCCAGTTTAGGCAGCACTGTCATTGCATCATCCACATTCTAGGGACAGAAAAAAAATGATGGGTATTTTAGCCTTCTCTCCCATCACTGCACTCCCACCTCCCAAACTAAAAAATTAATCTTGTTGCTTTTCTTCCCTGATTCTCTTACAAGCCATTCCATTCCTCCCTTGCTTCAACCCTTCTCTATCTCATATAAATGAACATTACTTTCTAGGACAAAGATATACCCTCCTCCGCCTCCTCCTGCAGAATGAAATCATGGTTCTAGGAACCCTCTAAAGAAGTAGCAAAGGCCGGGCGCTGTGGCTCATGCCTGGAATCCTAGCTCTCTGGGAGGCCAAGGCAGGCGGATTGTTTGAGCTCAGGAGTTCGAAACCAGCCTGAGCAAGAGCGAGACCCTGTCTCTACTAAAAATAGGAAGAAATTAATTGGACAACTAAAAATACATACAAAAAACTAGCCAGGCATCGTGGCGCATGCCTGTAGTCCCAGCTACTCGGGAGGCTGAGGCAGGAGGATCGCTTGAGCCCAGGAGTTTGAGGTTGCTGTGAGCTAAG